AATCTGTTTCATCAAACATTAGTAGGAAATTTTACTTAGAAAATAAAAACTGAGACCGCATGGAACTCGACTTGCGACTTGACTTAACAGCTTTTATCTAACTAAACTGAAAGATCAGAGATTCACGTTTCTCACGCTGATTTAACGTCACCATCTTTGACGGAATAGTAGTATAAAAATAGTTTTAAGCCATGTACTCTTCGAGATGTTAACATTACTCGCAAATAGTTTGCATTTTTATGTAAAAAATAAACGTATTCCTGTAAAGTCATAACATAATATATTTGTCAGGTAAATTACGTTTGATAGGTTGATCTTAAACTAGTCTGAAATAATCTGTTTCATCAAACATTAGTAGGAAATTTTACTTAGAAAATAAAAACTGAGACCGCATGGAACTCGACTTGCGACTTGACTTAACAGCTTTTATCTAACTAAATTGTCCTGTCTCGCATACTGCAACTTTTAGGTTTTAATCTTAAGATGACTGATTGTCATTACACAAGACTATTATAGAAATCAACAATAAATGTATTATCTCACGTATAGCAGCAAAATCTGGAAAATGTACACCAACAAACAAATATTGGTTTCTGTATTTATCACGTTTAATGTTGCTGCATTTTATGTATTCAAACTTCGGAGACAGACTGATATTCCGAAAAATTTCCGCTAGAATGTGCGATGTTCCGCGATTGATAATATAATGATATTATTATTATTATGAGAATTTTGACATAATTCTTCAATAGATTAGAAAGCTTTCATTACGGGTAACAATAATATAGGTCTCTGAAATTATCATAAATACACCTCAAAATGTTATCGGCTTATGTTCCTAATATAACGTTATACAAATACTACTGTTTATGTAATAAAACAACCTGGATGAACATTAGGCTTACATGTGTAATTGCTTTTACGTTCAATTTTTGGAATATCGGGCTGTAACCCAAATTTCATTAGATCATGCTATTTAACTATTCATAGCCTTGACTTTCACCTGGATTGACTAAAAATAGACTTCTCGAGACAACGGAAATTCTGTTGACTTGAGTTAGCATAAAGAGATAAAAGTGTATAGAAAGTGAAAACAAGGAACACGTAGAGCTGTAAGGGTCACTGAAGTTTGGAACTAGAATACACAACTAATGAGTAACAGCGTCACTTTAATAAAAAGGCTTCACTAAAGAACTGTTGATGAATTGGTAATATTGTAATTGTCGTGGAAATTAGAAACTCGGCAAAGATGAGCTTTATTATGTAACTAAAGCTTCGAATTTTGGTTTATTTGTTTGAATTTCGCGTAAAGCTACACGAGGGCTATCTGCGCTAGCCGTCTCTAATTTAGTAGTGTAATGTTAGAGGGAAGGTAGCTAGTCATCAACACCCACCACCAACTCTTGGGCTACTCTTTTACCAACAAATAGTGGGATTGACCGTCACATTATAACGCCCCAAACGCTGAAAAGGCAAGCGTGTTTGACGGAGGGGATTCGAACCCGCGACCCGCAGATTGCGAGTCGATCTCCTTGACCATCTGGCCACGCCAAGCCCACCTAATTTTGGAAATGCATAACAACAAGTTCAACGCTTCAATAGTCAATAATTTGTGTGGGAATCTTACTTCAGAAGTACAAAGGTATGACAATTTGATGATTTCATGCTTCTTTAGTATACACATAATGACTAAGAAACAAAGTTGGTAAATATGTTCGAAAAACGTTTGCCAGGAAATCTAAATAACTAGGCCAGAAGTAAATGGATATTTACAATTGTTTAAGAACACAATAAACACACATATACATATATATAGGGCCCATTTTAACCAATGTGCACATGCACAAGACCCCCAACCACCTGGAAAATACAATACCCCCGCTTTAACCAATAGCATATGCACAGAGCCCGAAAATTAACTAACCTTACATTGATTTAAATAATTGAAATAAATGATCCAAGTACAGAAAAGTCTGAAATTTTCTGTAATCTACATATTCCTACACTTCTGTCAATATTCTTTTGCATATAAAAAAAAAACTACGCCTTATACCGTTATGCTGATTACAACGCCAGTTAACTAATCGAAGATAGTGACGTCACATCATCGTATAAAATGTAATTCGCTGTTCTTCCAGGATGAATGATTGTTCAAAATTTCAGTAGTAAATATTCTTAGGGCAATTTTAAGCTCAGTGTAGGTGTGCCTGTTTTGATAATCTGAGGATTCGCGGTTCGCATCCCGTTACAGCCAAAAAAATCGTATTCCGTACTTTGGAGCCGTAGTGCACTATAAGAGTGACTGTCAAACCTCACTATTCGGTCAGACAAGAGTAGCCAAAGAGTTGGCGGCGCTTACTGTTGACTAGCTGCCTTACTTCTAGTCTGTCAATTGAATATTAGGAATGGTTATGCGTAGGTGGCCTTTTGTGGTTTGTTTAAACTAATTTAAATCATTCCGTAGCCTGCGACCTATTGACTCCTACCGTACCAAAATATCATAGAACAAGCTAACAATGTCTCCAGTAGCACAGCGGTATGTCTGCGGACTTACAACGCTAGAAACCGGGTTTCGATACCCGTGGTGGGCAGAGCACAGATAGTCCATGTGTAGCTTTGTGCATAAATTCAAACAAGCTAACAAAACAGGTGGAACTAATCATAGTAATCAGGCAGTAACTTTATGGAAACATTCTGAAACAAACTTGTACATTAAAATGACAACAGACCATAAAGACAAATAATGACAAGCCAGGAAGGAATTTCTAAATATTCCGCAAGCTTTTCTTGCGGCCACAAGTTCGCAGAAAAACAGTTTGAGTCATAATGTTAAACTATATATCCGTGCCTAAAACTTTGTGTAAACAACAACAAAACCAAAAATAACGAATCAATATAGTTGAGACTTATGTTATTTGAAATGGTTGTTGTATGGAAATTCATAATAACATTTTATTTGTGATTCAGACATTTATAAGTAAAAAATTATTAGCTTTCTTCTGATATCAAGGGTCAGCCAATTCAAACAAGCTCGCTTACTGTATTCAGGTTTAAAAGGTAAAGTTGACTTTCAATCTAAGTATCTCATATAGTTCCGTCTATTAACTGTTCTGATATACGTCACAAGTTTCAGCATTCTATAGGAAGGGATACAGGTAAATAAAATATGAAAATATACTGTGCAGGTTGCGAGCTATTATTAAGTAAGGCCATACAAAAACAGATGGAACATAGATTCCAAATATTATTAGTTTTCTACTGTTTTGTGGCCTGGCGTGCCCGGACTGTGAATATGAGGATTCGTGGTTCGCGACTCGTTCCTAAACAAGCGTGCTTCATATTTTAAGCCGAGGATGTTCTCTAAGAATGACGGTACAATCCCACTATTTGATCACACCCGAGTAGCCCAAAAGTTTGAGATGGGTGCTATTAATTAGTTGCCTACCCTATGGTCTATTAGTTCAAAAGTAGGGACGACTATACACAAAATCTATTGTTCTTGTAGATACGTGATTATTTTACAACTGTTCATGTGTAGTTAAGTCGTCATGCTTCATGCATCTTAGTTTGAAAAGTTTATCTCTTAATATCTTTTGTTTTATAATGTATTCTTTCTAGTAACGTACAAGAACATAGATAAATGTTCCCTTTGTCAGAATGTATGAAATCAGTGACCCGGTTTTAATTACTGTATTGTCTTCTTTCTGGGTCAGTTACTGCTCTCTTTTTACTTAGTAAACAACAAATAAGAGAAAGTCAAGCTATTTCTGGAAATACATTTGACAGATGTTGTACTCTAAAAAATGCCAAACCTAACAAACAGTATTGCGTGGAATATTGAGAGCAACAAGCTAAAAAAAAACGATTGTATATACTCGTCTTTAGTTTGTTGGTTGGTTGGTTAAGAGTAAAGATGCACAATGTGCAATCTGCACTGTGCTCATCATTAGGATCAAACCCTGCTTTTTAGCGTTCTAAGCCCTCAAGTTTACCGCTAAGCCAGAGAAGGGCCACACACAGTAATTATCAAAACTTTCTTTTCTAGAAGAGCACATTCATAAGTTCACATAAGTTCATTAAATAGTTGTTAGTCAATTTAGCTTAAAGCTGTTAACAAAATGTTATACAATTTTGCACACAAAAAGCAAGTTCAATTTTGCTTTAATTATCGTTTAAGAAACAGACATAGATTTAGCTTGTAGGTTCAATCACTCTCGAAGTTTACTGTGAGATCATGAGGCAGACTTTTTCCGATGTATTTGGATAAAATCCTTACAAAGTTTTTTCTGTGTGTTGTCATGAAAACCTTGTAGAGTTTTCCGATATGTTTATTGTGTTAATATGAAGTACATGTAGAATTTTTTCGGTGTGTTTATATGAAATCCTTGCAAAGTTTTCAGGTGTGTTTATATGAAATCCTTACAAAGTTTTTCAGGTGTGTTTATACAAAATCCCCAATAACAAATGCACTTAAAACTGCTTAGGTTTGTTTGTTTGTTTGTTTGCGCGAAATTCAAAAAGCTACACGAGGGCTATCTGCGCTAGTTCGTCCCTAATTTAGCAGTGTAAGACTAGAGGGAAGGCAGCTAGTCATCACCACCCACCGCCAACTCTGGGCTACTCTTTTACAAACGAATAGTGGGATTGGCCGTCACATTATAACACCCCCACGGCTGAAAGGGCGAGCATGTTTGGTGGGACGGGGATCCTGCCAAACAAATCTTAGGTTGTTTAAGAAAATATCATTAAATCAGAATTGTAATGATTAAATGGTACGAATTTTTCATGAATGTCCTATTCTATTGGATGTTTCCAAAATGCACTCCTGATTTGTTGAATAAAATAAAACCTAATGAAAGGTATAATAATAAGTTTTAATTTTTTAAATGCAACCAATTTTTTATTCATCAGTTAGATGTCTTGCTTTGGACTCCAGAAAAGCTGGTCACTTTACACATTAATTACATCAAGATAATGCATATGTGTATTCCAGTTATCATTCTTAGTCATCCATTAGATGTTTTTGTACTTTAGAAGAAATATCATTGTGGAATTGCTGTAATAAAATATTTTGTTTCAGAATGGAAAGGCAGAGTGGTGGGAACAATGGATACCATATTTGTTGGGGGCTCGCAACCCTATACATAATCCAGATAGATCTACGACTCCTGAAAAATCTACTTTAAAGATATTTATAAGTAGTGAAACATGCCATACAGTTAAATGTGGGTATGCTACAGATATTGAGGTCAGTGGAAGTGGAATATACCTCAAATTTGTTTCTCCAATTGAATACCAGTGACCAATGGGAGATAATCCTATGTTGCCATAGTAGTAGCTCTTGAAACAAGATTGGCTATCAGCCTGATAATTTCAGGCGAAGGTGGCTTTAATGAAGTAAGTATGTGTGTGTGTTCTGAACTTTTTTAACTGCTGTCATAATCTAGTAGTTTTCCAGATTTCTCTCTGAACTTTATCTTCTTATGCAATTTTATCATCTTGCACTTTTTAGATGATATTAAAAGATGTGCAATTTTATAAAACTTAAGAAAAATAACAACATAGGTAACATTAAAATTCACATTTATTCTATTTATGACTGTTCTCTCTACTTGTTAAATAGCACATCTCAACAGAGACTAATGCTACGTATTTGCTTGTTTGATAATTTCCAATAGAATTTCTTTCTGAGGAACTTCAGCGATGTAAGTCCTTTTTAGGTTAAACCAGTTTATTCTTCCTCCATACAAACTTTTAGTACACAGTAATTCCACAGTCAATACGTTTCTCGTCAATTTAAACTTAACAAAATTTATAATACACGCTATAAATTACATCGATTCACAATCTTGATAACAAAACACACACTAGCTCAAAATAGAATCGTAAATTATCCAGAATTCTCTTCATTCAACCCTTTTTGCAGGCTTTCTCTGCCAGGCTTATATACTAAAGAAGAGTCTTGAATGCACTAGGAAATTCATGATAATTTGAGAAACTCCTTGCACACGCCACCAGCACCAATGTGCCAGCAGCATCACGTGACTTCTGCTATCGTAACACTAATTTGTAGCGTAATATTGTGGAAAGTTAAATGCATAAATTCAGCATAACTTTGTTTGTCAAGAGAAATAACTGTAAAGAAATATGCATAAGATTAGAGCTGGATGATTAGTGGAATTGTTTAATCAATTAATTGTATAGCTCATTAATCAGATACATTAAATTTATCAGTTAGTATTGTTTGTGGCTCATAAAACCATGTATATTTATTTGTTCTAAATTAATTTTTTTTCTTTTGACACTAATGGATGACTGCATTTTTTTGTGAGCTTTATTATTACTATTGTTTATGTTGTTTTTGCATGCTTAGATTAAGGGCTCAGTTATGTTCTCATTCACCTGGATTGTTGCACTTTGGCTAATGTAGAATGTTTTAATAGTGAAATAGCTACTTAGTAACTTTGAAATTAACTTTCATTGTCAATTAAAACTACTTGAAAATGTGTATATAAAGTCCTTTACTTACATCACCAATTTCTTTACATTGATGCTCAGATTTTAGTTATATACACACCTTCCAAGATAAACAAAAATGTCTTGTCATCTTGGGATCACATACTGACATTCTAAAGGTATAAATGAGAAATTGTACATACTATCAGTTGTAATTATTTAATCATCTTCCAGATAAATTACGTATTGAAATTCCATAAAAGAAATACCTGTAGAAAGCTGTTAGAAAAATCATTGCAACTAATGCAGTTGTGTTGTGTGTGGGTCTTAATACATTAATAATGATTTGTAATGTATAAAAGTTTATTTAGAGAAAATAAGTAAGATGTTATGCAAAACATATTAAAATTCCAGTGTCAGTCATGAATTTGGGTTGGTTTACTTAAAACAAAAAAAAAGCTCTGAGATGTTATGTAACATGAATTAATTTTCTTGTTTGAATCATGAAATAAGGATAATTTATTCTATTAAATAAATGTGTTGGGCTGTTCAACAACACACTTATGTGTCTGTTTGACATTTGTAGGTATTATGCATCCTTAAGATGTCAGATGGAAATACTGCTTGTTTCACTTTAAACTTAGAATCAAAATAATGATGAGGAGCCAACTGTGAATGAGATTGAGCTAGAGTTTTGTATAATGAAAACACAAAAGTAGCCTAATGAATCAGAGAAAGATTTTTGCTGGTTTGTAGTAGAAGAAAGCCACTTAGTTCATACCTAGGTGAGTCATGAAAATTATTAAGTACATTATTAAGCTCTTGCAAAGGCTGTACTGTGTCAAGTAAAATACTAACCCTCAGGGTCAGCCATTTTCTATTAGAATCTTATAATATTTTTAATTACTTTGATTCTAATTAAAAAAGGGGTTTTAAAGTTAATATTGAGAAGCTGTCTTTTGTGCTACAACTGGTTGAATGATTTTCAATTACACACTTTCAAAAGACAAATCCCCAAGTTATTTCCTACTGCAACATCAACATAAATGTTCACTCTTCATTCAAATCATAATTAGATTAGAGAGAGAGAGAGAGAGTACAGTATGATTCACCTTTTTGGTCACTAAAAGATTGATATCTTAGTTTAAATTATTGTTTAGAAGCTCAGATAACTTTGTTCATTAAGTTGCTGAAATCTGTATTGGTGACAATAATTTTTTTTACGTATTTAGCAGGAGTTTTCTTTCTAGCAAATGTTTCCTTTAACAGCAAATTTAAAGAAAATTTCTTTGTTATTATTTATTTAAAGAATTTCACAAGAGGCTTGAATATGTATCAGGATTAATTTTGTACTTGAAGTTTTTTTCCTTGTGTAAGTATGAGTGCACTTAAGAATTTTATTCTAGTATTAATATATTAATTAAATAATTCTGTCTTGCAGCAGCAACCCCTAGTACAGTTCAAATAAAGGTCATCCTGTAGTAGGGTTAGATTTGGATAGTAGGGTTAGAATACTGGCATCACCAAAATCAAAATGTTCCAATCAGAAAAAGTCCCCCAACAAGGTAAACAGTCAATAACAATCTTAAGAAGTCACTATGTTAAGTATATTTTGTTTTAACCAGTAATGTTATTAGTTATCTTTTTTTTTCCCTCATGGTTGATTTTTTTTGTAATGGCTATGCCTTTCTTTCTTTCTTTATTTTTTTTTTTTTAGAACTTGATGTATCAGTATACATTACATTCTTTTTCTGATGGCTTTTATAGAAGTCAAATTATTTGGTCATTTGTAAATAATATAAAGTTGTACTCAGTTTCATGCATTCCCTTTGTGATATTAATGAGCCAGAAAAAGAAAAAGAATTTATTTGTGTTCACACAAAATTTAAAAACTTATTCCAATATGATATCTTACCTCCTCTCCCATAATTGCTTTTCTCATCTTGTAATGTCCTTTATTTGTGCAAACCTTTGCTTGCCACTAGCCTTGATACTCCCACCTAACTTTGCATGTTTTCATATGAGGCAGCTGCATGATAGCATGCAAATGAGTATGTGACAGCCCTCCACCAGTAGGAGTGGGACACAACTCCTAGCACACCTGTCTTCCTCTATGCAGCTTAGCTAAACTTCACTTTTTGAATGGCACCTGTGGTGTTAACATGTGTTTTTCACTTGCACTTTACCTCATGGTATTTTCAGTCAGTTACATGTTGTTGTTTTTTATGAGAACTTAGTTTTTCTTCTTTATGTTTACTACACTTCAGTTCAACAATTTTAGTTTGTACACATTAGCATTATGTGTCTTTTATTTTCATACGTGTTTCTTTGGAATTCTCTGTGTGTATTTTTTCTACTTCCACTCATAGTTCCCATAAATTCTGAGTTTCACATTACAACTACTACTACTACTACTGCTGTTCCTACTGTAGTTAAACTTATTTCATCTACAGTGGCTTCAAGTCTGCAATTATTGGCAGACAATGTTACGGACTTGGTTTGCCAGTAGTTGGTTACCTTCATGCAGGCTTCAGATTTGCCTGAGGATTATCCTGTCATGCCTTGTTGAGGCATACCTGAACATGAGGACAATGATTTTAACAGCCTGTTTCCTTATCCCAGCCACACAGTCATGTTTAGCTTCAGTTGATCAACTTGGTATGTTATGTTTTGTCTTTTTCTCCAATTTCCTTTAACTTCTTCAATTCCCTTTTAAGTGAGACACCATTGGGACAATATTGATATTCATGCCAATAGGCTTGTAGACCAATTATGTTCTGGAGTCAGTATTCCTTGACCCTCATGTAATATGGAAGCTTTGGCTTGCCATAGGTTTGCATATCCTTTTCTTCTTTATCCCCAGCAGTTAGATTCTCTTCTGCCACTGTGGGTTTTGGATCCTAATGCTTCAGTCATGTTTTCCCAACCTCAATTTTCCCATATCTACCTCTCTTTATCCTCCCTCCTTTGTTCACTTTCCTCAATTCACCTTCTGTATGAAGTTCTTCATTGTTCCCCTGTGGGGTTTTCAGTGGAGACTCGTGCCCTGATTTTTGCACTATAGCACGATTTTTTCTTCCACCCTTTCCCTCCAAACATTGCTCCTCTGTGGTTGGGATTTTTTTGGGGGATAGGACCTTACTTATTGGAGTCCAAAGTCAAGCCTGCTTGTTTGCACACCTACCTTTACTCAATGGCCTCCCATGTGTCTCAACCTTATCCTGAACCTGTTCCCATGTCTTGTCCCCTTCTTTCTTTCCTTTACTGGTTCCTACTACATTGGTCTCAGAGGTTAACCATTGTTTTTCCATATCCTTTCTTCATCTTCGGAATCTTTCAGCTAGCATCTTTCCAAGAAAGTTCCAGATGTTATTCACAAGGGCACTATGGAACAAGTGGATCCTTCTCAGCCAGGTTTCTATTCCCATTTGTTCATTGTCCCCAAGAAGACCGAGGACTGGTGCCCCATCATTGATCTTTCTTCCTTGATTCACCATGGAGTCATACCTATCTCTTCAATGGGCTTTCAGTTCTGATTTCTGGATGATGTAGGTAGATGTTTCACAAGCTTAGTTCCACATTCCCATCTCCCCAGCACCCCAGCATTTTCTTTGTTTTATCCATTGGGGTTTTGTCTAGCCTTGATACTCCCACCTGCAATCTGGATGATTGACTGCTTCTAGCTCCTTCACCTGCTCCTTCAAAAATAAGTTGACTTCTTCCTCATGTCCTTACAGTCATACAAGTCACTCTGTGTTGCATCCTCTTGTTGACGCCACTTTGGACAGTGCAGCCATGGTTTCTACTTCTGTGGCTGCTCCTACTGACACCTCCTATTCCTCTACCCCTCCTCAAACAACTTCAGTCATCCTTCTTTTCCAGTGCTCTGTCTTCAAATATGACTTTTGTTCAATCCCTTGTCATAGTCAGCTCTGATGTGGATAACAACTCCATGTCCATTGTCTGGTCGATTGATGATGATATTGATTTAAATATATTTTAATTTAACTATTTCATTTGTGCTACATACTTTTTATTTTCTTTTGTTATACTTTTTATATTCAAATTGTTTACTTATATATTACACTGCTAAAGAACTCTCCTGCAACAAAAATATAATCATCACCCGATTAAGGAAATGGAGTTGTTATCTTCAACAAATCTGACTATGTTAAGAAAGTACTTGATGTTAATAACAATCACAATAAGTTCAAATTAAATATAAAGAACCATTATCCCATACTTTACCACTTGAAGGAAAAACTCAGAGATTTCTTAGAAACCTAAGCAAGAGAAATAGTATTTCTGATTGTGTTCACAACAATTTATATCCTACAGGATCCCAACTTGTGGTATTATACAGCCTATTGAAAGTTCACAAACCAGACACATACCCCCTCTTCAACTCTCCACCTTATGCACTTACAATTATAATTTAGCTAACCTCCTTGTACTCACCTTAAAACCTTTTACTAGGAACAAACTTACAACACTGACTAAGCATTCTTGTTGATGGACTTTCTAATTGTGATTTTAAATCTATGCTTGAACTCTCAATTAAATACTCTCTGCTCCTGTTTAACAATACTCTATACAAGCAGATAGATGGCTTTGCTATGGGCTTCATCCTGGCTCCTATGCTTGTTAAGATTTTAATCTGTCACCACAAATAGAACTGGATTGACAGCTGTCTTTTAAGCTTCAAGCCTGTTCTCTACAGAAGATATGTTGATGATACTTTCCTTATTTTCCACCATACAGATCATATTCAGTGCTTTCTTGACTATCTTAATTCACAAAATCCCTCTATACACTCATGAAATTGAGATGAGTAACTAGTTCTTTTCTAGACGATCTGGTTAGTCATGATACTAACAGCTTTACAACTTCTGTTTATCATAAAACACATTTACTGGCCTTTTAACTCAGTTTGACAGTTTTATACCTTTTTCCTTTCAAACATAATTTCATTCTCTGCCTATTAAATAGGGCCTACAACTTTACCTCTTCCTATCTAGCCCTTCACAAGGAAATGTCTTCCATACAAAGCATCTTTTTTTTTAAATGGCTACTCTAAGCATTTCTTGGAGAAAATAACTTAATCATTCTTAACTAATATGTTTATCAAGCCACCTAAAATACCCACTATACCCAAACTTCCTTTATATATCTGCTTACCATATCTTGGAATACAGTGCTCCCATATTACGAAACAGTTGAAAAAATTATGTAACTCTATACGTAAAACAGACAGTTCTTATGCAAAAGATTTTAAATAAAATTAATAAAACAAGACATCAATGTTTTTTTACTTGCACAATAATTTATTTGTAAAGTTTAAAATATACAACTTAAAAGAAACTTTAAAAACTCTACATGTTACAGTAGAAATATTTCCACCATCTTCAAGATTAATAGAGGGTATCAACCTCAAATCATAGATATAATGTACAGTAAATATTGTAACAAACTTCAAATTTCTGGATATACTAAATTGCAGATAACTAAAATGGAAAGTAGAGAAAGAATATGTTTGCCCTATGTTACACTATGGTCATTAAAAATAGGTAATGTGTTTAGGCAGAATATGAATTGCCAAGTAACATTTACTCCTCATTTAAAATTAACTCATATAATTAATGATTTGAAAGATAAAATTGAATGAAGGGATAAATGTGGTTTTTCCAAGCCCGTTCCCTTGACTGTGGTTTCGCTAGATAGTAGATAGGGACAGTGGGAATCTCATTAATCCATTCATGCTCGTCACTAATTATTTTATTCTACAGTGAAATGGCTCACAAAATTCTTAGTAAAGATATGGGAGGCCTTATGCAAGCTATGAAACATGCTCAAAGATAGAGTATAACCACATTAGACACCGAGTACAGAAAAGGCATGTTGTCAGCTGCCCACATTCTGGTTATGGATGCCAGGAACCTTCTGGATGTAGTGGACAGTGTTTGAATAAAGCTTTTCCAGTTTGCTCAAAATTTCTCACTGGATGAAACAGACCGAACTTTGAAGTCCACTGTTTCTAGCAATTAGCTTTCTCCAATTGCCTGTAAGTCAGTGAAGTTTGTGGAAAGTGAAATTAAGATCCTCCAAGTAAGAACCTAGTAAGAACTCTTATGATAGCAACTATGAAAGACAGTACAGTGACCATCATTGAGACCCAGAAATGCTTGGCTTCTAGAACTGTGTCTCAGTCACTTGTAGCTAGAGCAAGTGAAAGTACCTATAATATCACTCAGTAAACTTCCTGCTCTTCTAATATCTTTCCATTGTAATGGTGAATATTGTCATTGCATTGTGGTCTACAAAGTCACTTTATAGTTCTCTCTATGCAGCAGAAACCGTTAAGGGTACCGTTTACCAAGCTTCTAATGTACTTGTATTACGTATCAATGACAAGATAGTGTTAGGTTAGTATGCCTTATTGTTGTAGTCACAACTGTTCAATAACTTTACCTATACTAATAGTCATTAAAAAGAAAGGGTTTGACATTAACTTTGTGTACTATTTGTACTCACCTTTTTTCCCCATCTACAGATTTCTGAATAAGAAATAGAAAGTAATGTTTATCAGAATTTCAGTTTGTGATACAACATTTTATAATTGTCATATACTAATATCTTAACAGGTATAATTAATTATAATCATGCTTCACCAGCTTAATTAAGCTTTCACACCATAACAGTTGTTGTTATAACAAGTGGCCTGTATAAATAGTGTTCTGACCAATGCTGTATTTGTTATGTCTCAGCCAGACTGATAGATTCTGTATTGAATAAAAAGCACCATCAGCAATGGATGTGGCAGACAATGTGTGGTTGAAATAATATTATACATTCTTCTTCTTCATCTTGAAAACCACTAAGAGACTGAATAAAGAATGTAGTGCTTGAAAATGTAATAGACCTAGAACTAATGTCTTATGACAAGTATAATTAGTTATAATCATGCTTTGCTAACTTATAAAAAGCATTCACACCATAAAAATTGTTGTAGAAAAAATGTTAAACCAATACTCATATTCTGACAACCTGAAGTTTAAGAAATACTTTATAAAGCTATCTTTGATTATCACATATATTTTGTCTTTAAATTATTAGTAATTGGCTCAACTTTTTGAAGAAACAGATTATATTTGAGCAAAGCTGATAACTTTTTGTGATAAAAATCTATTGTGATTCATATCTACAATGTTCTGTGTCCTAACATTATGTAAGTACTATTCACAGAGATGGTTCCTTTGTACATTGTTAGGTAAATACTGTTCATGGATGCAGTTCCTTGAGATATAGTTATATAAGTACTTATCTCAGAGATGGCTCCTTTGTACATTGTTAGGTAAATACTGTTCATAGATGCATTTACTTTAGATATAGTTATATAAGTACTTATCTCAGAGATGGTTACTTTGTACATTGTTAGGTAAATACTGTTCATAGACGCATATACTTTAGATATAGTTATATAAGTACTTATCTCAGAGATGGTTACTTTGTACATTGTTCATGGATGCAGTTTGATGTGATGTATGTACAGTTACATAAGTACTGTTCATACCTACAAGTTCTTAGGATATACATTTATATAAATGGGCATGTAAATTTTTTAATGCATTGTTTTTGCAACATACACAAGGGTAAATGTTTAAAACTTAGTGTTTTTCAACACATGTGTTTAAGTGCTTAAACAGCTTGTTCCAGGAACACATAAGTATGAAAATGTTTAGTACCTTATAAATATTGTAATACAAAGCATCATTAAAATTTGTCTGGTTGTTGATGCAGAAAACTCCAATTTGGATATTTCTTCTTTCATATGAAAACACAAAATGAATGTTGCTTTGAACTCATAGCAATATAGCATTACATGTTAATTTTAAAAACTAGTTTGTTGTTATTTTTACTTTTTAAATTGTGTTTTCAACTGTCTGAACAACCCTTTATTATAAATAACTTGATCTCAGGTTTGTGTAATTACTTGTCTGTGGAGTTGCTTAGATTTTTTTTCAAGAAAGTGGAATTGTATATCTATCAAAGTTTATTATTGGAATTATCATATGTGCTTTTTTGTTATTATGAAATTTTTCCAAAATTTTTGGTGGAAGCTCTTCTTTTATGTACCTGAAACTTTAATTCTGTTTATTTGTTTTGAATTTCATGCAAAGCTACACAAAGGCTATCTGCACTGGCCATCCCTAATTTAGCAGTGTAAGACTAGAGAGAAGGCAGCTAGTCATAACCACCCACTGCCAACTCTTGGGCTACTTTTTTACCAATGAATAGTGGGATTGACCATCACATTATAATGCCCCCACAGCTGAAAGGGCAAGCATGTTTGGTGGGATGGGGAATCAAACCCGTGACCTGCAAATTGCGAGTTGAGCTCCCTAACTGCCTGGCCATGCCGGGTCTAATTCTGTTTATCAAGTTTAAGATTGCAAGGGAAGATAATTTTATCAATTTATGCAACAAATTTTGATAAATTTCTTTCACTTTGTATTAATTTGTTGTCAATTTGTAACTCAAGCACTTGAAAAATGCTCAATCCCTGTTGAAAAAATATACTACTTAAAGTTAGACAATACATAACTTCTTTTGAAAGAAATCTTAAACTGTTGCTTAAAGATTTCATTTTATCTAACTTTCCTGAACAAGGGTATATTATTTATTTCAGGACAAAACTATAAATACTTTCATAACATTAGAAGCCATAATGGGTGAAGAAAAAAAGTAGTAGCCCCACAGAGTAGGATTTGTGTCAAACAAGTCTTGATGTGTTATAATATATTAAAGTTGCTATTGATTGGATCAGATTGTCTTATATGCCATAATTTACCTACTAGTATTTTTTTCTATTTTGTCATGTTCTTGTCTTTCATCTTTTAAATATTTTTTCAATATTTTAAATTTATTTTGTGAGATATATTTGTGTCAATTATCATTCACACATCCTATGCCATGACTTATTTATATGTTTAGTAATGTAGAGTCTCTTATTTCCATTAAATTGAAAATAAGTAGTGGTATTTTAACTAATAGTTGCATTGTTATTGTAAATTAATTTGAATATCTTGTAAATTATGATTAACTTAATTTTTCATGATTTACATGGACTCTGAAGAAATGTAAATGATTAAGGACCAAAATAATTTGTATGTGACAGGACAATTTCTCAAATCAAGATATCAAAGACTTAGCTGTTTTTCAGTTTAATGTGGAGAAACATCATTGCAGTCTTCATGTGTCAGAAGATCCATGTTGCTACATTGAAAAATACAAATAAGGTCTAGAGTACTAAATTGTAGATAGTATAAATAAAATTCAACATTTTGCTTTAATTATGAAGGTGCTTACATTATGTAGTGTGTGTGTGTGTGTGATAAAAGAAAAAAATGGAGAGTTATGTTAGTGCCAAATATGGTATGTGTTTTCCTAATGTGATATTTTACAAGTTGTGTATGTATTTTGCAAGTTTTCATAGAGTTCAATGTGAAAGTTGTTCAGATTTTCATGAAAATAACTTTTGAGCTTTCAGATATTTTTTGAGTATCTGGAATAAAATAAATGTTTTATTCTCTATGATATGTATCATACAAATTGATAAATAATTATTTCTTTTTAACTTCATTTTGTGACAATGGTTACTTTGTCATAGACTAATTTCTTTAGAATTTCTTGGAACCTATTATCTTGACAAATTTGCTGACACAATTCTTACCTTGCATTTTCATTAATGACTAAAATATGAAATAGCAGAAGCAGTACAGTTTACAAGAGCTATTCTGACCCACTGTTTGAAATGATCGAACATACTTTTCTTGAGCTAGTATTTATAATTTTTTGTTTTTCATCTGAACTATGTTGTTTTATTATTGAGTTCACCAGTGACTGCATATGATTATCTTGGACTTGATTTCTAGTCAATTTTTTAAGTTAATTTCTGTTCACTTGAAATATCTTCAGGCATTTTATAGTCTAGAAGTACCACTCTGTGTAAAGGTTTTTTTAAAAGCTCCAAAGTACAGAAATAAATGGTCAATTAGTAGCCACAGTGGTAAAATTTTGTTTTCCTCTGTATTAGTAAAAAAAATAGTTTGGAAATTGTGTGTGAATGATCCAGTAAAATCATAAAAGAGAATTCATAATATGTGAATGAAAAAGCTGGTAAATGAGAATAAGAATTGGGAAGTAGCTGCATCAAGATCATTCTGAACATAAAATTGTGTAAAGAAAATTTTTTCTGACTATTCCTGAGAAGTTTAGACAGTAGGATTATTCAGGAACAGTTTGCTGAATTTCATTTGTCTTGTAGGTGATGGTAATAGCATAATTTTGCATTTTTCTTCATGTTAAGGTTCCATTATTGGCCAGTGGCTGAGGGAGATTCTGTAGGAAAATCATGTAGACATAAAATAAAATTGAGGGTAGCCTTTTTGGACCCCAGCAATAAATGAGAAAATTGCAATTTTATTAATGCCTGGTATCAAGTCATCTTAACACCTTAATACAGTAATGAAATGTCAATCAAATTATGGCAATGTGTTATCATAGGAAAGATGTCGATAAGAAAATACTAATTATTTGCATAATTCATGTCATACTTTGGTTATAATCAGAATATATGGTTGTTGATTATGTCTTGAATCTAGTGTTTTTGAAAAGTAATGATATATCCATATAACTAAAAATGTTAATGGTTAAATCTCAGTATATGCTATATCTGGTGGCATGCTCGATGATTTTGAACTATTTGTTACTGCATGCAGACAGGTCAGTGAGAAATTTGTATTCTGAGATGAATTTATTCAGATGGTGTCTTTTTGTTGAATGACTTGATACGATCTGACAGAGATGGAAACTGGATCCTATAAGTCAGTACTGTTCAGGTTTTGTTACCAGTCTTATCAACTTTTATCAAACTGACTATCTCTGATGGGGCTCATTATATGTGTAAAATGTGAGAAAGCTGCCAGAGACTGCACATGATTTATATATAGCAGCTTTCTTGCAGGAAAATTTGTTGTGAAATGCACACTTAGTCTGTTCAATGCTATTGGAACTGGTATGAGTCTGTAGTAGACAATCATCCACTCACAGAAGAGCAGCTTGGGAATTATTGGAATTTTTCAAAGCAGAATAGAAATTAATTTACCACAGCATGCTGGCTGTTAGTAGCCAGGTCCAAGAAATCAGTGGAGTGAGTAGCAGTACTTGTAAGCTTCAGGCTCATCTTGAGTATGGGAAAACAGAAGTTGAGGCTACTGAGAAGAAAGTACAAGACATGTTTGCATATGTTGAATCTAATGAAAATCCACTAACCTCTCCATCTTCTGAGCACAACCTACATAATATTTTGGCGTGTGATGTGATGAACGGAAATTAATAAAGATCTTAACATCAGATTTGCAGGTTCCAAGTTATACAAGACATTTTGTAGTGAAAGGTTCACCAGACTGTTAATCTTACTGACACCAGTAAGAAAATATGATACATCCAGGTACCACACCCTAACTTGCATTGTTTTTAGGCTGTCCCTAACCTTAAATTTTAAATTACAATGAAATGTACATAAAGTCAAAAACCACTGAACCTCTGTGTTCCAGTAATACCTTATTCCTTGCTCCAGACAAAACACAACACAAAACCCACTAACAAAGAAAACAAAAAAATTAAAACAAGGTCAAAAGTTTAAATCATAAAAGAAATTTAGTGACAATTTGAATATATACATAAGAAAACACTATAGAATACAAAAAAATAAAAGGTAAACCTTCTCAGTACTTATATACATATATACACAGCATCTAGGTACAGATACATAAAACTACTAAACATTTGCAAACAGAAAGAGATCCTATATATACAAATACACACAAAACACATTCACAAGTTACAGTATAAAATAAAATAGAAAAGTAACACACTTTATATACAAGTTGTGACTACATCCAAAACATAAAACCCCTAAATGTTTAGTTTTCAAAAATGATGATATAAAAATTGATAAAAATTATGTATGCAAAATAACTACATAATATAAAACATGATGCACAACCCAATAGGACCTAACAGCTTATTGATTTTTCCCACAGTCTGAACTAGGCTGTAATCGGTTGGGGTTGGCTCTAGCTGGTGGTGTTGACAGTATAGGTTAAGAAACAGGAAGGCATGATGCTGTTTCAGCAGCAGGAGCTTCCTTGGTTTATCCCAGGACAGGGAATTCAGCTGGCATAGTGTTTGTGAGAGGAGCTACCAGCTGCCTAGACTCGGGAGTTTACAACATCAGGTAGTGCTTCCTAAGTGGAAGATTCAGTTGTATTCAATTTGATAATCGCCCTAGGAGTTGTTAACACTTTTATCGTTAAATATAATGTAGGCTTCCATAACGTGAGTATGGATAAGTCAAGCAACAGAATGAATGCGAGAGAAACTTCTGATTGTGATGGGTATTGTTCTATAAGAAGTGTATTGTTACATCTCCGTTCGTTAGTTAATTTTCCGTAAATTCGTTCCGACGAAACTTTAGCGACACAAGTCCTTTCTTAAATAAAACTGGTTTATTCTTTCTGAATATAATTTTGCGATACACTTAATTTCAACAGTCGCGCTATAACAACGAACTTCTCACGTGCTCAACTTCTATAATACTCAGTTCAATTACACACTCTCTGACTGCAGTTCAATTACTCACTACACTGTTGTCCCTGTCACGTTGTGACCGTCTTATATATATATATATA